CAGCAGGAAGAGGCTTCCAGGACTCCTGGACTAATGAAGGGAGAGGGTCGACTGTCTGACATGTTAACAGAAGGAGAGAAAGAGGAGCTGAGGAGAGCCATGGATCAATGGAAACGATGTGTAATGTGTGAACTAAGAGAAAGAGATGCCCAGATCCTCCGAGACAGGATGGAACTGCTTCAGCTCACACAGCAGGTGAGCAGCTTCATATATTATAGTTACATTAGTTTTTAGTCACAGTCTGGTTCATAATCCACAAAGAATTCCACTTTTGCCCAATTACTGTTCATTTCAAAAGAATTAGAGCCATGTCAAGTAGTAAAAAGCTCCAGATGACATCAAGTTTTCCCCTCAGTATGAAACCTAACAGCTAAGGACAAATCTCCATGGTGTAACGTGTGATTGTAATTATTATTAGCCATAATTCATTTGGGCTATGAAAACCGCAAAGCAAAATAAAAAAAAATTACCCCAGCGAAGAAAACCCCGAGAACAGCTCCACTCTGAAAACCTCCATCAGTCCTGGTGTGTAGCTGCTCCCCTGGCTCTCAGCACGATGAGTGAAGCTGATGCAGAGCCGCTGGTTCACATCCAGCTTCCTGGTCTGCCTCCCGGTTCTTTCTGCCGCTGTGTTAAAGGATCATGGATCAGCTCTGACACTCTGTTCTTCTGGGAGCCAGCAACTTAACCAAAATTATTTGTTCATTTATCCTTTAATTATCAGAGCAGGAATGAGGGTTTACACACACGTCCAAACTCGGCATCAGTGATTACAAGGTTTACCAACATGAGCGGCTTTGGCAGTGAGATTAATATCAATGAAAGGATTGAAAGTAGAGCAGAATGAACATGGAACCTTGTAATAATGTTTGTGCTGGACAGAGGAACAAGGAGCTGGAGGAATGTATAGAAGCACAGAAACGACAGATCAAAGAGCTAGAGGAGAAGGTAAGAACAACCAGAAAATCTTTAATCTATTCCTACTGCGAGCTCCACTGATTCTTTTCTTTTTTCCAGTTTCTGTTTCTATTTCTATTCTTCTCTTTGGCCTTCATCCTCTGGTCCTGAATGCAGCAGGTGAGTCACACATCACACAAGTGTAGTCCAGGTTCAGGAGTACTGGCTCAAAGATGTTCATCCAAGACATCAGGGTCTTTTGAGGTAACCCAGGTTGACTCAGGCAGTGAAAGCATCGCCAGGGTTTACCCAGGTAACCGTAGAGTGGATTAGGTTTCCAGTGTTGCATCAACTAGTTGATTCTTTACTCTGCAATGACTTTTTACTGGGCCAGTCCACTGGTTGCAATAATGTGACAAAACTGATTTTTCAAAGAAAATGAAAGAAAGTAAACTAGGTGAATTCGTCAGATAGTTCAAGTTGTATAAAGATGTAAATAATTTACCAAAGAGAAACAAAAATTCCAGTAAGGGAACAGAGGCACTGCGCGGTTGCGCAGCGGTTAGCGCGGCGCCCCGCATAGACAGACCGGGTATCTGGAGCCCGACTCCTGTCCTCTGTTCGCTGGGCCCAGGCCTCTCTCCCCTCTCTGCCCCCTTCCTGTCGGATTGCTGTCAAATAAAGGCAAATAGTGCCAAAAACATTTTACTAAAAGTTTACCGGAGTAATGTGGGGCAACGCGGCATGATGATCAGCGTCGCTCTGCGTGTTGAAGCTTCCAACCTGGCAGCTTTACGCTCTTCTAAAATACGTCTAACGTCTGGAAACAAAGTCCAAGCTTCACTCTGAGGGTCTGATAGAGGCGATCTCTGCCGCCGTCTGCATGTGGGTTCAGAGAGCCGCTGCTGATGGGCGGAGCATCGGGAGGAGGAGCAGCAGGAGGCGGCACTGGGTTCAGCTGTAACCAAACGGATCCGGTCATGATTAGTCTGGTTGGTGAGGTTCCACTGTGGTCAAAAGAGGTTTAATAAAAAGGTTCCTATTGGGTCTTGTTGGAGGTGTGAGAGGAACCACCAGGACCCTGAACACCTCAGCAGCCCAACTTTCCAAACGTTTAGAGATCAGAAACTCAACACAATTTAATTCATCTGTCAAAGCTCATCTTCTTCTGTTTCAGTTATGACATGAATGACTTATATAATTTAGTGAATGGTAAATGGATTGAACTTATATAGCGCTTTTCCAGTCATTTTGACCACTCAAAGCGCTTTACACTAGAGCAGGGGAGCCCAAAGTGGGTCCTGGAGGCCCGGCATCCTGCATGTTTTAGTTCTCTCCCTGGTTTAACGCACCTGGATCCAATGATGGCTTGTTAGAAGGCCTAAGAGGAACATTGACAAGCTGAAAAGGTTGTTACTGCCATCAGGGAGAGAACTAAAACTTGCTTGAAATAAAGGAAATAAAAAATTAAATCCACCTGCTACTAGTACCACCTAGTAGCAGGTGGTACTAGTAGCAAACTCAAACTGTGGCCTCAGTTGGTTTTAGATGCTCAGATAGATTCTGTAGTCTGGGCTAATCATTGGGTCCATCATCATTCAGTCTGTCAGTGGGAACTTTAAGTGTTTTCAGAATCTGAGTCAATCTGTTCCCGGGGTTTCCTCAGGTGTTTGGTATCTTGCTCCTTTTCACAGCAGAGTTTCTGAGCCCTTGTTTCTCTTTCTCAGCCCACCAGAGGCCACCAGGTGGACACTCAGCAGTGCCGGCTCAGTCTGGACCAGAACCGGGAAACTGTAGGACTTTGCAGCTCTGAAACCAGTGGCAACAAAGCACAACTCGACCATTCTTGTTGTCAGCTGGCCTCTACTTTGTAACTGCCACTGTCAGGACTGCCCCAGAGATTGAGTGGTTTCCATGGAAAGAAAGCTGAGTTCAGGCCAGTGATGCTGCAAATGAGACAAAAACATCTGGGTTTCAGCTGAATGACACCTGCATACTGGTTGTAGAGTCACTGAGGCGGAATGCAATACCATCCGTCTCAGAGCCAAATGCTGAACCTAGAAACGTCTTTACCACACTAAGAGGCCTGCTGAACAGAACCAGGAAGTCCAACTGAAACCCGGTTCAGACACAAACCTGCTGCGTCGTTAGGAGGCAGATGTCAGGAGACGAAGGTGGGGAAATGGAAAGCATTCAACTCAAGTGTGAGTTGACTAAAGTCCCGGCTGAGGCCATGAAACAACCGACTATCTGCAGACATGAGAGAGTTAGTGATGACCTTCAGAGTTCGGGTCATCCGATGCCTGGAAGCTTTTCAGAAATGCATGTTTGAACGCAACATGCATGCGTCTCCCCACATGGTGGCAGGTCTTGTCTAGACCCGGAGCAAAACCTTCCTGCCAGAGGACGCCGAGTTTCTTCACCAGGTGCTGGAGGTGGATCCAACCTCCTCCGTGTTCATAAGGAGATCCGACTCCAAGTGGAAACTTTTAAAACCCAAACAGTGTTTACTTCATGGAAAAATGTTCCTGGTTTTATTCCTGTTACTGATGATGGACGATAACTTTACTGCTTTCAGCTGATTTAATAAAACAGATGAAGTTTTTATTCTGCTACTGGAGATAATCTCAATCTGAAATACAAAAATGATTGAATATTTTGTACTTTTAAGTCAAATTTTAATTTTTTTAAATTAAAGTCATCCTTCAGATCAGCTTTAAGTTTGAAGTGAGCTCTGCAGTTCGTGGTCATCAGTCAAAGTGTAGAAAGAGCACAACTCTGTGTGGATCCCACTCATCTTCAGTTCCAGCATTCTGGACTTTTATGATCTCAGATTCTATTTTTCTAGCCCTGCTGTGAAACTCTGACATCATCACTGAGATTAAAATGTTGCACATGAGACCCGAGGCGTTTGTGTTGTGTTTTTGATGATGGGAAACACTGACAGGGTCCAACGTTCAGATTTAAGGCCAGAGCAGCTAAACCTCAAACCCCAGCAGACGGTCCAGACCGGCAGCTTTGACCCGGGTTGCTGGATCCCCTCAGAGACCAAACTAACAAAGGACTCATTTGCTCCATTCAGACGCAAGAAAAAACAGAAAGCCAGAGAAAGCTTCAGAGCTGTTTCCCTATAAAGCAGCTCTTAGGTTAATAATGAAGTTCTGCTGCAGCCGGGTTCTGTCACAGGAGCTTCAGCTGACTGGGTCAGAACACACAAGAATATGTTTACAGGACGCCTTGATCTCTGGAAATTTGTTCATTTTAAAGAGAAAATTATCAAATAGTTTAATATTTTTCTATATGAGATTCAGGCCAGAGCTGCTGGAGTGTGGCCTCGGTCCAGGTTTCCATCTGGACCAGACTCCGGGCCGAAGGAGGGCGAGTCCAGATCATCCGGCCCGGCTGGGCTTCATGAGAAACTGTTTCCATAGAATCAGGGTCAAGAGTCAGGATTCGTCCAGCATCATGTAGGTCACGAACAGGTTCAGGTCCCAGAAATGCTGCAGATCAAAATCAGAGCTGGACTGGATCCTGCAATAAATCAGATCAGTTCATTTCTACAGGCTCTTTACCAACAGAACATTCCAACACAATCGATTCGACTGATCTGAGTTTATCAACGGATAAAGTTCAGTTCATAATTCAAACTAGCTTAAGTATTTCTATGGAAACCCTGCAAAGGATCCTGACCTACAGCACCACCTTCTGACCAGCAGGGGGCGACAGTAGAGAGAGAGAAAAAAAAACCAACAACTCCCCTTTAACAGGAAAAGATCTCCAACAGAATCTGTACTGGGCTCAGAACCAGGAGTCACCTGCCCCCTTGGAATTCCCAGCGTGTGACCGTCCAGAACCATCCAGAACTATCCAGGGTTATCCGGAACCATTCAGAACTATATCCAGAACTATCTGGAACCATCCGGAATCATCCAGCACCATCCGGAACCACACAGAACCATCCAGGACTATCAAGGATTATCCGGAACCATCCAGAACTATCCGGAACCATCCAGAACTAGCCAGGATTATCCGGAACCATCCAGAACTATCCGGAACCATCCAGAACTAGCCAGGATTATCCGGAACCATCCAGAACTATCAAGGATTATCCGGAACCATCCAGAACTATATCCAGAACTATCCAGAACCATCCGGAATCATTCAGGACCATCCGGAACCACACAGAACCATCTGGAACCATCCAAGACTATCAAGGATTATCCGGAACCATCCAGAACTATCCTGAATCATCCAGGACCATCCGGAACCACACAGAGCAGAGACAGGAGCCCAAAACCTTTTTTAAACTGGAGAGTCGGGTCGAGTCCAGTTGGGCCAAGCCTCAAACCCGGCATCTTTGGATAAGCCCTCAGGGCCCGGTCCAAACCCAGTCCGGAACCCTGTGGGTCCATTCAGGCCGGGCGGCACTGGTGTGAAGTCAGCTGTTGATTGGCTAATTGACAGTGGGGGCGGAGTCAAAGACAATCCCAGATCTCCAATAGTTGATGTTCTGTTTGGCCCGATGTGCCGACCCAACTTGAATCTGGAACTAGAAAAAAGAGGAAGAACCAGGAATTGCTGACCAGAGAAGAAAATGCTCCACAACAACTAACAGCTTCTTTAACAATCTTTCCAGATTGGACCAGAACCAACCACCTTCCTACCAACAGCACTACAGCTCTGTGGTTCTGAGGAGCTATTCCAGGACCCCTTCAGTGACACAGTTGCAGTTCAGTCCTAAACCCAGTCATCCCATTAAACCCAATGTGCAGTGATCCGGGTCAGGCTGGGATCTAAGGAGAGCTGACAGAAAAGGAGCTCCAGGTCAGGCTCCTCATCTCTCTGGCCCGGTTCAGCGTCTTTATGAGGTCCGGTAGCTTCACAAACAACGCTGCGTCTGATTTACATCAGTAGGTCTGGTTTCCTCTCACACACTCCAGAGAGTGTGAACCAGGTTTTTATGTCCTTGTGGGGACATTTTGGTCCCCATAAGGGGAAACGCTGTTTTTGGGTTAGACTGTAGAAAATGAATGGAAATCAGTGTGAAGTCCCTACAAGACACAAAAACATGGCTGTGAATGTGTGCGTGCACGTGTGTGTTTGCGAGGGTCCGTGTGCACGTGTATGTGTGTGTGTGTTTTCATCTTCCTGCTCATTGGAGCTGAAACAGTCCAGGTCACATGACCTCAGTCTGAACTGTTTTCCAGTCAAGAGAACCATCAGTTCTGGTGAACCATCTCCTCCTTCAGAGTTCTGGAGTCTCCCGGTTTGACCCGAAGAAAGAACAGAACCAGAAACCCAGACCCTTAGTTGGGTTCTTCAAATACATCCAGGACTTGTCAGGTTTTAATGAAGCGATTCCCTTTCATTATTTGGCATTTGTTGTCCTCTGTGGATCTCTTTTGGGTCATTTTCTTCTTCCTCCTCCTCCCCCTTTAGTCAGCCAGCGCAGGCTCTTCCTCCTCCTCTTCATCATTTGTCGGCAGCATGTCTGAGCGTCGGTTCCGTCAGGAGGACGACCGCTCCTCTCTCCTTTCCCGGCTCGGTTCAGATTCTCCTCGTCCTCGGATGAAGTTCGGAGGAATGTTCTGCAACGTGGAAGGCGCTTTCGAGAACAAAACTCTGAACTTCGAGTCCTTCAGTCCTCGGCTGCAGCGCCGTGGCGCCGGTCCGACCCAAACAGGAGGCCAACATGGAGTATGGACCGCAGTCCTTCCATCTGGACACACCCGGGAAAACTACGGCAAGAGAGAGGTTCATTACTTTCTACCTGTATTTGTTTATAGATCGTAGAAAAATATACCTAACAGAATCCAACAGAACCATCTGAACCCAGGTTTGGTTCTGATTGGACCAAGTAAGGTAAGGTCATTTTATTTATATAGCACATTTTCAGCAACAAGGCAGTTCAACGTGTTTTACATGAATAAGAGGAAATACAAACAACACAAGAAAACCACAAGAGAGACAAAAAGGTAAAAGTACAAAACTAAATATTGGTTTCTCAAGTTTAATAGGAATAAGTAGTCCATATAAATTAGTAGGGTTTGGTTCTGATTCCTGCTGTTTCTGGCTTTTTGGTCCCGTTTAGTTTCTGATTATCTAACAAAGTCAAAAGTCAGAACCTTCATCCAAGGCTTTAATGAGTCACTGAGGAATCTGGACCCGCTCCGCTAAATGTTTTTGTGTGTGTGTTCAAGCTGCACCACCAAAAATGACTAGTAAGTAGCAATGAATAACAAAAGTGTTTTTCTCAGTGAACAACCTGTTGAGACCCATAGAAGTCAAACTAAGATTCAAATGTTGCTTAGATATGAGTTTGGTTCAGAGTCACAGATCTAATCTCTGCTACACCTTTACAAAAACTTAAGGCTCTAAATAAAAACAAGTTTTAATAAGTAACTCCACTTAATAAAATTCTTCAGAAATATTGATTTATTGCAGTGGTTCTCAATACAAATCATGTTATTTAAATTATAACCCTAACCCTAACCCTATCCTTTTCTTTTTTGGGAGGGGGGGGGGTTTCATGTTAAAACATATACATATGTCGGAATTGAATATTTAGGAAGTATCATAACTTAAAGGTCAGTATCACGGTTTTCTAGAAAAATATTCAGATTTTATTTTGTGGTTTTAAAGGCTCCACGTTAAAGATGGCAAGAAATAAAGACGTACTTTATTTATTTTGTTTTCCTGCCAGCTGCAGTCGCCCCTCTGCTCTCGGCTCCCATGCAGAGCTGTCGGCTAATGCTAATGCTCAGCCGCTCCCTCCAGTTTCAAACTCTTCTTATTAAAGTAAGAGAGAGCTAAATATAACTAAAATATTGGCTACCTTCACAGAAAAAGGAGCCAAGTCTATGAAAGCAATGTAGCAGTTTAGCTAGTTTTGATTTCCAACGCTCAAGGTGGCACTTTATCATGATTCAGCCAAAGTAATGAAATAACGAACTGTGAACTGATTTTTATTGTCAGTGTGTTTCTTCCTATTGAGCAGTGAAAGTAAATAAAAGGAGGTGCATGTCTTTTGCTTTAAGTATATACTTACTGGAGGGTTTTTTTTGTTAAGTGTTGCAGAGAAACAGCTAACAGCTAGCTCCTCACTTCAGCGGCTCTAACTGAGCCTGTGCCAGGCAGCTGTTGCTCCTTGAACCATTGTTCTAAAAATAGTGGGGAGGGGGGAAGGGGGCGACCTAAAAATTAAGACTTTTTTTTCTTAGATGAATGGCAAATTTAAGTCTTTGTTTGTTTCTATTGCCTTTTTTTTTTTACATTGATATTGTTTAAATACAAGGGTTTCTTTCATGATTTCTTTGGGGGGGCAATTCTAGACTTTTCCAAGATTGGGGAAGTCTTGGCCTCATCCCGGATTTAGCCTATGACTAAGAGGAGAATGCCAAAGCTCCTCAGGTTAGCGCTGGGCAGCGTGTAGAGATGTAAACGCGCATATAATTTTTGTTCACAAAGTTAAATCATTCTCATCACGCGCCTCTGAAAGCGCAACTACAACTAATTCCTGCACAACCAGAGCTAACGCGGCGGGGTTTAGACTCTTACCTTGATGTGGACTTCTCCAGAGAATCATAATTCCACACAGAGGGTTGATGTAAATATCCACACAGGTCAGTCTGTGTCCAGCTTGAGTGAAAGGAGGATCGGCGCTGAGGTAAACTCAAGCAACGACAGCGCGCGAGGAAAAGCGCAGAGGCGCCAACTGAGTGAATAAAATTAATTTTCTGGTTTGTCCATAAAGCTACACATCGAAAGCACAGCCTTCCGCAGTGTTCTATGTATCGCTCACGGGTATAAATACACCCCCTCCAGGCATCATTTAAAGGATGTTTATTGGTTCCCGAAATACGACAAAAACCCGGACATAATCGGCTGACCGAACTTGGAAAAATGGACGTTATGCTGCTAACACTTAGCTTTCATCAACAACTCAGGCGGAAGTGAGAGCGCTGCGCAGCGCAAATAAGAACATGGTTTAAATAGAATTTAACGAAGCTTCGAGGCATATAAATTTTCCTCTTGGAATTTTAATAATCGGGGTACTCGAATCATTCGAGGAATCGTTTCAGCCCTACACCACAGTGCACAAGGCCAAACTGGAGCTGCTGAGTAAGAATGCAGACCCTGGAGAACATCTGCAGTTTCCGGGTCAGGATCAGGAACACTGATGGCGGATTCCCCCAGGGTTCCGCCATCTTCTCTTCTTCAACTTGCAGTTGAACTGTTCGGAACCAGTGACCCATTTAAGGCGGCTCTTCTCACTGTATCAAGTCGGAGCATCACAGCTGCGGAGCTGGAACCCGGTTCTGAGGATCGGAGTCCATCCGGAAGCCGAGATCTCACTTCCTGCTTACATTTGCTGACGTCAATCTGAGCTAGACCCGCTTCAGATTCCAACATCTGTTACCATGGAAAACGATCCGAACCTGGTCATTCTTCAGGGCCGAACCGGATTTCTTTCTTCAGAGCCGAACTGGGTTATTCTTCAGACCGGAAGTCCTTACAGAGTGAAAACAATAACTCAGTTTTTCTGCTGAACCGGAACCGACCAGCAGATTATCCGAACTCATCTAAAAAGAGTCTGTCGGATCTCTGGTGGTCACCATGGCAACTGCAAAGCACTACTGTCCTGCTTGGGCCTTTATTGTGAAGGTCCACACCGGAACTGTGTCTGTGTATATCAGCTGGAGCTTGACGTCACAGGTGGCTGCAGCAACAATAGCTGCGGGTCCGCGTGAGGAGTAGAATCAGCCAGCTGATCCGGACCGACCCAGATCCGTCAGGATGTCCTTCCAGGTCAAGAAGAGACCCGCGGTACGTCCAACCCGAACCGAACCGAGCCGAGTGCAGCCGAGATGGGACCGGGCCGGTGATGCTGAAGCTCCGCCTGTCTGACAGGGAGGAGACCCACCGAACTGAGAGGATGTGTGCAGCTTCTGGGCCGCTCAGCTCATCTTGACTGAGCTCTTTTTGTTTCGGTCCGAGATGAAAATCTGGGTTCTGCTGTATGCAGCACGCTGCATTCAGGGGCAGTGGGACGTCTCATGTTCCTGCATTGAAAGCTGATTTTCTGGGTTCCGCTTATTTGGTTCTGCAGAGCTTCAAGGTCTAGTTTTATTTTTAGCCTCATGTCAGAACCGTTCTCCAATCAGAGAGGTTGGTTCGGTCTCGGCAAAGAAACCAAACCAAAATCATGGAGACTTCAGGATGTTTTCCCCAGACCGGTTCCCCTCTGGATCAGTCGCCCCCCTCTCGTGGCCCGGTTCCGCCCTGGCCCGGTTCCCTCCGTGATGAGGCGTTTCATCCAATGGTTGCAGGTTAGCTCATGATGCTCAGAGGTTCCAAAAATAATCGGCATTCCCTGGCTCTCATGAAAGCTGCAGGTTTAGATGATGAAACGCCTCATTGAACCAGTCTGGTTCAATCTGTTTTGGAAGTTCTGGATTAATAGTTTATCCTCCTCAGAGAGGAGAATCCTGGTACAGGTTAGATATGGTCCCCGTTCACCTCAAGAATCTCATCTCTGATGTTCTTCCAGCTCACAGAGGACATGCTGGATTCAGGAAATCTTGTCTTTAGATCATCAAGTTCCTGAGCTTCCTGGTTGGTTCCTCCAACATCTATCTTTCATTGTGAACGTCCGTATGAAGACTTAAGTCACATTGAGTCGGACTGGGTGGTGAACTGGGTTGTGTTGTGAGCTGTGTTCTTTTGGGTCACCTTGGGTCAAATCGAGAATCGTGGATGTCATCAGCCATCTCTTCCTCCTTCGGATTTCCCCACAAACCTCTCCGTTTCTCTGTTTCCAGGGAGACTGTCTCCTCATCAAAGGAGGAAAAGTTGTCAATGACGATCAGTCGTTCTACGCCGATGTCTACATTGAGGACGGGACTATCAGGTACATCTTCAGCCAGTTCTCCTGTGGCTGGATGATCTCACCTGGTCACCAGGTGTCAGTGTGAGCTCCTCTGACATGATCACACTTCCTGTTTCCTGACAGGCAGATAGGCGAGAACCTGATTATCCCATCTGGTGTGAAGACGCTGGATGCGTACGGTCAGCTGGTGATCCCTGGAGGCGTAGATGCCAACACCAACCTCCAGGCTCCGCAGAAAGGCCTGATCCCGTGTGACGACTTCTACCAGGGAACCAAAGCCGCCCTTTCTGGAGGAACCACCACCATCAGTCAGTGACCACCAATCATCCATCAGCACCCCCACCTGCATGCCACCTCATTACTGTCTGTCTGCAGTCGACCATGTGTTGGTGGAGCCGGGGACTAGCTTGCTGTCAGCGTTTGATCTGTGGAAGGAGACGGCAGAGCAGAGGGCGTGCTGTGACTTTTCCTTCCATCTGGATGTCACCAGGTGGCACGAAGGCCTCTACGAGGAGCTGGAGACGCTCGTCAAAGATAAAGGTGATCAATAAAGGTTAAAGAGACGGGGTGGTGATCAAACTTGTAGCAGCTAATGGGACGTTTCTCATGATCGATATGCAGCCGAGTCAACAATATGTGTCATCATGGCATAGATGGAAAGTTCTAACAAGTTTTACTGGGTTCTTGATACTCCCACTTATATGTGGGGATATATAGGAAGTGTCTGGACTTTTTCCAGACTGATCCAAATGATCCTTCTTGACCCCTGAGGAAGGTTTTAGAAAACCTTTAAAATCCATCCACAAAGACCCAAATGAAATCAGGTTCTGGACCGTCACTTGGTCCATTTCTGATGCAGACCTGGAGAACATCTTGACAGCCATTTACCAGTACCCTTCACAGCAAGGCCAGAACCTTCATGATGACATCAGTAGAACAGCACCACTGACAATACCTACCTACTGACTGTACCGCTGTGTTTCAGGGGTGAATTCCTTCCTCTTCTTTATGGCTTACAAAGACCGGTACCAGAGCTCCGACTCTCAGGTGAAACACAGAAACATGTTCTTGTTTATTTGTTGTTGTCCACTTTCTGTTTATTTATTCATCACTTTCTCCTTCCTGGGGCTCAGCTGTATGAGGCGTTTGGGATCCTCCGGGATCTTGGAGCAATTGCTCAGGTCCATGCTGAGAACGGTGACATCATCGATGAGGTAACACACCTGAACAAGATGAACCACTGAACACATTCAAACCGCTCTTAACTACATTTTACTGGTTCTAAGTGGTCTGAAATGGTTTGTGTTTCAGGAGCAGAAAAAACTTCTCAGTGTGGGTATTACTGGACCTGAAGGCCATGTTTTATCTCACCCTGAAGAGGTAAAAGTACCT